AATTATAATCAACACAATGGAATTACCAAGAACATTGTGGAATTACCTTGACTTTTGTTTTCCTTGCTGGATTACTTTTGACTTTTGTTTCCTTGCTGGATTACTCTTGACTCTTGTTTCCTTGCTGGATTACATCAAGCTCAAGGACATTCGAAGGCGTAAGTTCATGTTTGGAATTCATCCCCATGGACAGGCGATGATTTCCAAAGGGGGGACTGTAGTGAACTTGACCTGATGTCAAAACTTGACCTTAGGATCATATGGTCAGAAACTGTCATTTCATTGATTTGCATCCAGAGATACAGGTTGACCCATCCTGAGACTTTCTTTCTTGAATTAATCAAGTGGAAAAAGACAATTCTCTATGATCATTACTATTTTACAAATGTTTTGATAATCAAATTGTGTTAGTTTAAACAATGTTTACATGTTGAAGTGAACTACTCATTTTTATTTACTTAAAACAGTAATAATGATTTTAATCCTCATTCAAAGAAGAAATCAGGTGAATGATGCATTGTCTGATTTTCTGTCTTCAATGAGCAAAGTTTGTAAGTGTGTCGAAGTTCAAGCTTCGGTCAACTGAAAGTTTACTGAAAAGAAATGTCATGTTTAACTTTTACAGCGAGATACTAGGAGAGGTGGCTCCACGAAGTCTGGTTTTCTCCATGATATCTTTCTGTCTGTTCTTAAACAATCTTAATCTTTTCCCTTGACTTTTCATAACACCTTACATCACAAACCACACCTCTGCTTTGGTCCATCGACCAATCAGAAGCTCTCAAATGAACCGGAAGTAGAGCCCATTTAAATGTTGGCACTTCCTAGTTCAAGCAGAGAGTTTGGGAGTTCCAGAATGCAGAACGCTGGAATTCAGGATGCTGCTGAATTAGAATAGCTGAACCAGAGACGATTTGGGGATTATAACTTCTGTTTGGATAACCTCACGACTCCAGGGGTTTTTAGCTGTTCTCACGGAGACGCTGAAAGAGTTGAAAGGAGAGCTCTACACCGACGCTGAAATTATCGTCTGCAAGGTAAAAAGTTCTATCTTCTATCTCAACCAAGCGTACCGTTGGCCCAAGCTTATTTCCAAAGGAGCGTGCTTTTCTGGTTAAAACAGACAAATTCCCTCACACATCTCTCTGTAGATAAACCTCATCTTTCCATCTTTAAACTCTCCTATCTGCTAGCAAATTAATCCAGATGTTTTCAGAAATGTCTGTGGTGAAGCAACGGAAAATCATGGCCGTATGGTTTTCCTGGTTGTAAAGCTGATTAATTATGTCGTTATTTTCCAATTCTTGCCAATTAATGTAAATGTGTGATGTGTTAAACTTGATTCTGTTAATAAATGACCCACTCGCTTGGTGAGTCAAAGATAATTAACGTCTCACGTCCACATTTTATTAAATTCAATGCACGCATGTTATATACAGTCCAGAAAAATGAAGAACTCGTTTAATTGATGAATATATCTCAGGATATGTCATACTACATTCTGGTGGCCCGTCCGTACGTTTCCACTACACACTCTTTCTGTGCAACAATGGCGGAATTGGTGATCCTCTTACCATCTTGGCTTCGGAGAGACACTGACACTCTGAGAAGCTCTTTTTATACCCAATCATGTTGTCATTTGACCTAATTAGTGTTAATTGGTCTTCCAGCTGTTTGTTATATGCTCAATTTCCTTTTTCCAGACACTTATTGCTACTTGTCCCAACTTTTTTGGGATTTGTTGACATTGTGAAATTTTAAATCAACATATTTTTCCATTAAACTTTTGATCTGTCATCTATGTTATATTACGAATAAAATATTGACATTTGCCATCTCCACATCATTGCATTCAGTTTTTATTCACAATTTGTTTAGTGTCCCAACTTTTTTGGAATCCGGTTTGTATATGGAGACTTGCTTAAGCACAAGTGGATTCTATTTATCATCATCAGTCATTTGGGACAACATTGGATCATTCATAGATCCTCACTGAACTTCTGGAGTGAGTTAGCTGCACTGAAAGTAAGGGGGCTGAATAATATTGCACGCCCCACTTTTCAGTTTTTTAATTGTTAAAAAAGTTTGACAAATAAAATTTGTCCAATAAATTTCATTCCACTTCACGATTGTGTCCCACTTGGCGATTCTTCACAAAAAATTTAAATTTTATATCTTTATGTTTGAAGCCTGAAATGTGGCAAAAGGTTGAAAAGTTCAAGGGGGCCGAATACTTTCACAAGGCACTTTACATATACAGAAAGTTTTAGATAAATGCAAGAAGGTGTTAAATATCATGAGGTGTTTAACTAGAAGTGACTGGGGGGCAGATAGGAAAGCACTTAAGGCTATATATACAGGATTAATTCAATCAGTACTAGACAATGGAAGCATTGTTTATAATTCAGCAGCAGATACATTCTAAAAGTTAGACCGTATTCAATATCAAGCATTGAGACTGTGTACAGGCGCAATGAGAACTACCCCAACAACATCACTACTGGTAGAAATGGGAGAAATACCACTCAAAATTAGAAGAGAACAACTAACACTAAATTACTGGGCTAATCTGAGAGGTCATAGACAGGATCATCCAACACAAGAGACAGTTAAACCTTGCTGGGAAAAAGTAAAAGATATTAGAAGTTGTGGTTGGACTGTAAATCAGAAAACAACAGAACTCAAAATAGATCAGATCAATATAAGTCAAACAACTCCATTACCAGTAATACCACATTGGATACTTTCATATGCCATGGTAGATTTTACATTATTGAAAAAAAAAGAAATGAAAATAATGGATTCATTTTAAATTCAAATACGGTACAGAACCATATCAATTAGGGCATTAACAGAGTACTCGAGTAATCTACACATCGATTGCTAGGACCTCTATCGAGGTTAAAAATTTAACATCGAGTATCCGTAGTGACGTCATATTATGTGACCACCGTATGACCGTAGGGGGCGGTGTTGCACTGTTGCAGGTCACAGTGTATGGTGTATCACTGGGTCCAATCCACCAAACCAGTTTCCGTTAAGTTTCGTTTTTGACGTGCTGCATGTTTCTTCACGTTTGCAGTTTCATAATAATAACTAATAGTTTAGTTTTTCCTGTGACTTATTTGCAGTATGATAAATGGTAGGAGCATTATGTGCGCTCCCAATGTTTTGTTGGTCTTTTTATTTTGTAAATAATTACCTTTTTTTTGCGGTTTTATTTATTTATTTATTTTTGTATCTTGAGATCTATGACGTCATCAAATACTCGAGTTCTACTCGGGTTCCATTATGTTAATGTCGAGTTTAAAAATTATATACTCGTTCAACCTCTAATATCAATACATATTACAGCTTTGTTCAAATTTACACAGATGCTTCCAAGAACTTAGTAAATAAAGTAGGTGTAGCCTTCATTGTAGAAAAAGAATTAATGGACTTTCAGTGTACACGGGGGAAATGCTCGCAATATTATTAGCCATTCAGTGGGTTGAAGAAACAAGACCATTGAGATCAGTGATTTTTTAAGACTCCAGTTCATTATTAGTCAGTTTACAATATAACCATTCAGAAAGCAGGCCAGATACTTTAATAGAAATTCAGCAGACACTATACAGAATAAATATGATGGATCTAATGATACATTTTTTATGGATATCAGCTCATTATGGTGTTACAGGAAATGAAATGGCAGATAAAGCTGCAAAGGAAACCACTAGAAATCCATCAGTGGATTTAGTAGTTAATTTTAGTAAAACAGAAATAAAACTTTTAATAAAACAGAAAATTAAGGATAAATGGCAAAATCTATGGGAAAAAGAAAAGAAAGGACGCTGGTTCTATAAATTCCAGAAGAAAACTGGAGAAATGAGAAGTACAGGGAGGACGAGGAGAGAAGAGACAGTTATTTCTCGTCTCAGATTTGGGTATACTGGGTTAAACAGCACTCTTTTTATTTTAGGGAAACACTGCAGTGGTAAATGTGAATACTGTGGAGCAGATGAGACAATAGAGCATGTAATGTTACACTGCAAAACGTATGAGGAAGAAAGACAACAGTTGATTCAAAATTTAAATAAAATTAAAATAAAACTAGATTTAATTGATTTATTCAAAAATAACTCGAATAGTAAAATTTATCAAATAATCTTTCGTTATCTCAAATTAATACTGTTATTTAAGAGAATATAATCCTTGAGTGACATTTTGGTCCACACTCCTTAACAGTCGGTGGCGGTAATGCACCAATTTTGTTGTTTGCCAACTGCCAATAAACCTCAAAGAAGAAGAAGCACCTCAGACTGAAGAAGTCTTTCGGATGGAAGATGAAACGTTTTTACTTTTTGTTTGTTTTGCTTTGTTGTTTTTTGAATGTCCAGAGGACCAGATTTAACTTTTTTAGACATCAGTGAGGATCCAACATTTTTCAGTCAGGACATCTGGACAGTTTCTTTTTTTTTCTTTTCTTTTTTTTGTGACCAAACAAAAAAAAGAAAAAAAAACTGTCCAGATGACCTGACTGAAAAATGTTGGATTGTATACCTGGATTATTGAGCATGGACTTTGTTGCCATCAGTGAGGATGTTGGCTTGAGAGAATGTTGGGCTTCAAATGCTCACCAGGAAAATTACAAATTCAGTGGTTGGAAAAGAGATTGCAGCTGAGTTAGCCCAGAGGAGTAAATTAACCCAAGACAGAATCATGGATGTGAGCCGACATCCCCTGACTTTGGAGCGGCTTCTGTCCAAAGCTGCTGGCACAGACTCAGTTAAAACAGGTGGTAAATGCTTCACAATGAGGACACAGCTCCGTGCTAACAGTTTAGCCATGCTAGCTAACATTAGCGGAGCTGTTAGCCCAGCGCCACGTGCCGTGTCCCGTGGTTACAACTCTAACACTACGAGCATGTGGCGAAGACAACTTAAAACTGTTTTGTTTAAAATAAAAATAAAAAAGCAGAAACGTTGATGAAACATTTTCATTTCGGAGTGTAAACTTACGTAGCGAGACGCGCGGCAATTTTGAACAGGAAGCGGAAATCTTCTTCTTCTTGAGTTTATTAGCGGTTGGCAGAAAACTGAAGGTGTTCATTACCGCCGCCCAGAGCCCTGTAAAGAGAGAGTTGCGACACTCTTTGAACTCGCCGATACGCGGTCACATGGTTCATGCAGCTCCCCATAGTTCCAAAAAGCTCATCGCTGTCAGTCAGTTTGAGCGGCTGCTGGCGCAACATAACACAAAAATCGACTTTTCTTACTTTACCTGACGTCTTTCAGTAATTATTGAGCAGTAACGAACTGATTACTTAACTGATTATTGATTATTTCACAGACTATGCATTTTATCAAAGCATTTTTAGAAGCGGCTGATACATTTATCATTAAATTTTAGAAGGAAACGAGACTGCAAACACATATTTGTTAGAAAAAAAATGTATATGCAATACAATGATCAATATAGCCATATCAGTGTTTTATAACGTTACACACGTTAAAAAAGATCAGAGTAACTCCTGTTATAAAGCTGTTTCTGATGTTCTCTGCAGGATAATGCTCCACCTTGTCCTCCATGCAGTTCAGATCTGCTCCAGCTTACCTCAGATCATCTGGATGAATTCTTGATTTCTATAGAAGATATTAATTCAACCTTTATTTAAACAGGTTCGTCCCATTGAGCCACGAGGACTCATTTACAAGAGAGACTGAATATAATTGTTGTATTTGTCGTTTTTTTTATGGCAACCAAGTACCTGGTAAGTGAGTTGATTGTAGCCTGACAACTATTGGATAAACTGTAATTCATTGATTAAAATGTTCATTTAAATGAAACTGTTTCTAGTTAAAATCACAACAGATGACAAAATAAGTGTTAACTGTGCAAAAATAAATTTCCAAACAATTATAAAATATGTAAAATGTAAAACAAGCTTTAATAAAGTACTTTTACTGACATTTATACTGTTTATTAATGACATCATCTCAAGTCAGCAGGAGCACCATCATCATCATCATCACAACAACACAAAGTGAGAGCTGGAAGTTTAATCTGCACAAACATTTTCAATCAGGGCTCAAAATGTTTAACTGTCAAAGAAATGTGCAAGAAAATAAACTAATGTCACTCTACAGGGACATTTAGAGAGAGGACAGTTCACAGAGACACAGTGAGGACGTGTGAGACAGAGACACAGTGAGGACGTGTGAGACTGAAGGAGGTTCAACCAGTTGTTCATGGACCAGAACCAGATGAGAAGAACAGCAGAACTTCCACTGACCAGTGATCTGACCAGTGACCTGACCAGTGATCTGACCAGTGACCTGACCAGTGATCACACATGTTGTTCTAAATTAAACTTTGGTACGAACAGTGTTAAATAAGACATGTCATATTTTTTATTGAACAATAATCTTCATTCTAACAGTGACGTTGTAATTTCGGGCAGCACGGTGGCGCAACTGGTAGAGCTGCTGCCTCTCAGCGAGCAGGTCCTTGGTTCAAACCCTGGTCCAGGGGCCTTTCTGGGTGGAGTTTGCATGTTCTCTCCGTGCATGCGTGGGTTTTCTCCGGGTACTCTGGTTTCCTCCCACAGTCCAAAAACATGCATGTTAGGCTGATTGGTAACTCTAAATTGTCCCTAGGTGTGAGTGAGAGAGTGAATGGTTGTTTGTCTCGTTTGTCTCTATGTGTCCCTGTGATGGACTTGCGACCCGTCCAGGGTGTACCCCGCCCCTCGCACAGTGATTGCTGGACATGGGCACCAGCGACCCCCGTGACCCAAAATGGAATAAGCGGGTAAAGAAAATGGATGGATGGATGGACGTTGTAATTTCAGAGACTGAGGAAGAAACAGAAATGAGGCGAGTGAGATGAGGGAAAGATGAAAATGTGTCCTCAGAGGACAGGAACATGTCAGGATCTGATGATCCAGGATCAACAGGACCAGGAGGATGGATCAACAGGCAGTCAGGGAATAGAGATGAAAAACCTGAGGGAACAATTAGAACACAAAAAAAATACATGAGCAGGACAGAAGAAACTCACAGACAAGAAAATTAACTCAGTCCTGCCAAGAAAAATGTTAACAATGGAAAATAAATTGGCATATTTTTACAAAAGATCAGATGAAGACAACTGGCATGAAGAATAACTTCCAGCTCCATCTCAATGTACCTGTGATAGTTTAATAAGTTTTTTGTTACTGTTCTACAGTTTATTGATGCTGATTTATTCTTGTAATAATTCTTATTTCTTGTTCTGTCTTGAAAGAGTCTCATCTCAACTTGACCCATGATTACCAAACACTAAACTAATAATATAAAACTAATGTAAATGAACAGTCCTGCAGTAAATACCAACTTTGTGAAGGTTATGGTGTTAAAGTAATTTTATTCAAACATCTTGATTCAGCTGTTATTGATTAATAGAAGACAGAAAATGAGATCTTGTACCTTTGTGATACTTTGAATGCAACATTCAGTTCATGAAGTCATTCTCCTCTGGTTTACCTGGAAAACATGAAAACATTGACTCAGCTCCACAATCACGTTTTTCTTTAATGATAATGTCACAATTTATGCTGCAGTCTTTGACAAATGATCTATAACTTTAACTAAATGACGTCAGTCTTGTTGTCATGTTGTCATCTTTCTTTGTTAAATCAGGTCTCTCTTGTAAATGAGTCCTCGAGGCTCAATGAGATTTACCTGTAGAAATAAAGGTTGAATGAATCTCTCAGGAAAAAAAGACCAAATATTTTCTAGTTGAGTTCAGTAACTGGAATTACCATAAATTTAAAAAAGACCACCTTTCAATATTTAAGCAGTAATAGATATTTTAAAACGCTGAATTAGAAATAGACTCGTTTAAACCGTCATGTTGCAGAGCAGCTGCAGTTAAAACACAACTAGCAATTTAACATGTTTCATTAACTAAAACTGGCGACATGAAGTATTAATGTTGATAAATTGTGGTACAGAACAGTCAGATAAAGCTTCACAATGGAGAAAAAGTGTCGTATTTGCATTAACTTACCGGAAAAACACGGAGAATGTACAACGTTCAATGCTGAACCCGCTGCTGTTTGGAACTCTTTGCCGCTTCATGACCCACGTGACTTCCGCATTCCATTCTTTCTATGGGAGTCTATGGGAGTGTCGCAACTCTCTCTTTACAGGGCTCTGGTCTGTGGTTCATCGAGTGTACGAATAAATCTTTCGTCTGTTCCCTCTTCAGGGGTCTCCACAGCGAGTCATCCTCCTCCATCTCACTCGGTCCTCTACATCCTCTGTCCTCACTCCAACTACCTCCATGTCCTCTCTAACTTTTTTTCATTCAACCTTTATTTAGACTGGTTAATCCCATTGAGCCTCGGGGACTCATTTACAAGAGAGACCTGATTTTTGAACAGTGATGATAACAGTGGACAACAACAGACAATCATGAAGGATGCATACAAATTTATTTATTTTTCTAACAAGTGAAAATAAAATGACAAAAGGATAATTAAAAGGAAAAGTAGCGAAAAAACAGCTAGGTTGTAAGGTGGTGTAGAATACTAAAAACAGGACTGCATCCATATATCTCCTCTTTGTCTTTTTTCCTGGCAGCTGCATTTCTAACATCCTTCTACCAATATACCCACTGTCCCTCCTCTGGACATGTCCAAACCATCTCAGTCTGGCCTCTCTGACTTTATCTCCCAGTTGTTCAACCTGTGCTCTATAGCTCTGATGATCTCATTCCTAATCTTATCCAACCTTGTCACTCCTAAGGAGAACCTCAACATATTTTCTGCCACTTCCAGACTGTCTTTTTGTCCATGTCTTGTCTCCAGACCATACAACATAGCTGGTCTCACCCACTGTCTTGTAAACTTTTCCTTTGACATTTGCCCTCTTTGTTACAAATCACTCCTGAAAATTATCATTTGTTTAAAATAACTTTTCCTGTATAACAGCTTTCTTCACCCCTGTCTCAAATCATCTGTCTTCTCAGTGTACAATATGAATATTTTGGTCCTCAGCAGTGTCCTTTATCTTTGATGTAGGTGGACCACTGAGTCTTGTCCTGAAGAGCTGGCTCTCCAGGGTTGAGCCATGCGTCTGTGGAGTGTTTGTTCAGTTTCTCCAATAGAGCGAAACCAAACAACCTCTCCACAGACTCATGGCTCAACACCAGAGAGTTAGCATCTATCCATCCATCCATCATCTTCCTCTTGTTCTGGACTCAGGTTTCAGGGCAGCATCTTGAGCAGGGAGGTCAAGACATCTCTCCACAGCCAACTCTTCCAGCTCTACTGAGAGGACTCCAAGGCGTTCCCAGGACAACAGAGAGATGTAGTCTCTCCAGCGTGTCCTGGATCTTCCCCAGGGTCTCCTCCCAGTTGGGACATTCCCGAACCACCTCAACTGGCTCCTCTCGGTGTGGAGGAGCAGCAGTTCTACTCAGAATCTCTCCTGATAACTAAACTTCACACCCCATCTCTAAGGGAGAGTCCAGCTACCCTGCAGAGGAAACTCATTTCAACCTCCTGTATCCATGATCTCATTCTGTCACTACCAGAGTTCATGATCATAGGTGAGGGTAGGAACGTAGACCGACCAGTAAACATTTTCATTCATTCAACCTTTATTTAGACAGGTAAATCCCATTGAGTATCGAGGACTCATTTACAATAGAGACCTGATTTAAACAAAGAATGATGACAACAATGGACAACAGCGACAACAATAGACAGTTATAAAAAGGCATACAGATTTTTTTTTTTATGTAAGTAAGTAATCTTTATTTATATAGCACCTTTCACAGACAATGACATCACAAAGTGCTTCACAAAGTAAAAGTAAACAACAAAGTTCTTCACAAAGTAAAAGTAAACAAAATTTAAATAAAAGCCAGTTTGAATAAATAAGTCTTAAGATTATTTTTGAAAGAGTCAATGGAATCTGAGCAGCGCAGTGACAGAGGGAGAGCGTTCAAAAGCCTCGAGGCCACCACTTGGAATGTTCTGTCTCCACGTGTTTTAAAATAAGTTCTTGGTACCATCAGCAACA